ATTTCTGCCACCTCCAATAGCTCTGAATCCATCAATGGATTAATCTGTTGATGAGCTCATGATTCAATCACTTCCCAAAAGCCTCACCTCTGAATATTGCTGCACTGAAACCAAGCCTTCAACCTGTGAGTCTCTAATTCTATTCCAGATCCAAACAATTCCCATGGGGTGTGTGTATATGTGAAGGATTTTACTAATTAAGGAATAAGCAAGTGAGAAGAAGAGGGTCCTTTGTGGAAAACAGTAGTATGTTAGAACATAGACCTGTTAGGGAATTCTGTAGGCATGCATCTGACCATGCTCTGCCACCAACTGGGACAAGAATAGCTTCTAGATTGATTCAGGAAATGAGAGCATTAGACGAGACAGTCTCTGGTTGCAAGTGACAGAAACTAGTCCAAATTGGCTTTCCTAAAAAGGAAGTGCCCATTCAGGACAGCAGGTGGGATTGGCCCCAGAGACCCAGGTGCTGTCCTCAGGCTGACTGTCTCCCTCTCCTGGTGCTATTCTTTCCCGTAATTTAGCTTGTCATTGGCTCTTCTCACATGAGAGCCTTCTGCTGCTCCAGACTTTGGTTGGACCACCTTACCAGCCTCCCCCTGGTGGGATGGAAGCCCTTCTTTCCCTGTGACACTTGTAACAAGTCTCAGAGCCCATGTGCCTTTGCTCTGGTTGGCCCAGCCTGGATCCCATGTGCAGGACTTTCCTTGTTCAGGCTCAGGCATGTGTTTACCCCACAGCTAGTAGCTGGTTCCACTCTGACGCATCATTCCACATGGAAAGAATAGAGGAAGGAGGGCTGAGGTGTGGCAGAGTGTGTGGCATGCTTCAGGCAATCTCCAGTACCCCCTGCCCACCCAGAATAGGAAGACTAGGGGAGGGAGATATCCCCAAAGCAAAACTCAGAAGATTTTCCCAGAAGGGGACAAATACTGAGTAGACAGAAGTAATATATCTGCTACTTCCTTTCATCCCGACATCCATGACTTGCAGGATTCTCAACATCATCAGTCAGAAGCAGCCAAATAAATGGCTCTGGGAATCTGCCAGGAATCCCTCGTGAATTTTTATTCAGCAAACTCATTTATTCATGCAGAGAGTATGCATATTCATGACCCTGCTATACCCCTGGCTCTCTGTGGGACCCTGCATATCTTTTGGTAAAAATACAACAGTCTATACTAAGAACCTACAGCCTCGCAAAGAAAGTATGTATGTTAAGAAACTCATAGAAGGGCTGGGGTTGGGCTCAGTGGTACAGCACTTGCCTCAAATGTGTGAGGCGCTGGGTTCGATCCTCAGCACCACACAAAAATAAATTAAATAAATAAAGGTATTGTGTCCATCTACAACTAAAAAAAATCTAAAAATAAATAAATAAAAAGAAAGAAAGAAACACATAGAAGTGGGATGGCGATGGAACAGCTCAGGTTCCAGGTGTGTGGTGCGAGGACCAGGCAGCAGTGCCCTGAGGAAGCACCCATAGTCTGTTCCTGGGAGCCAAAAAGGAGTTGGTTGTGCAAAGGTGTGTCTCAGGCCCTGGGGACAGAAGACAAGGTCTCTGTGGGCCAGGGACGTGCCAGATCTGAGCCCTTGAGCACCTGAACTGCCCTGAACCATTTCTCTTCTCTTTTCAGGACACTTCCTCAGAGGATGTGGAGCCATTTTTGGAAAGTGTCAACACAGGGGCTTTTTGTGGCCATGTTCTGGCCCCTCATCCCCCAGTTTGTGTGCAACTGTTTGTTTTACTGGGCCCTGTATTTCAACCCAATCATTAACATTGATCTCGTGGTCAAGGAAGTTCGAAGACTGGAAACGCAAGTGTTGTGACTGGCACTGTCCGGGCTCTGAGCGGGTCCTCCAGTCTCCCCAGTGCCTGAGCTGATGCTTTGGAGGGTGAGGGAAGAGGAGACTTCCTGTTTCTACCCATGGTAAACAAGGTGCTGCTTTGTATGACAAAGGCTTCAACCAGGTCCTCTCTTCTCTGCCTGTGGCACACCATGGCAGCAAGCTAACACCCCAGTACATGGAGGACTGTCTGTGGCCCACACAGCCATCGCCTCACAGGGTCCTCAGAGGACACAGTGTGGGTGACGTCAGAAGGCCACCACATCGGCATCTCCCTCCCTGCCTCAGTTAATGACAGGTTCCTAGAGCCAAGACCAGGCTTGTTTGGGCCAGGCCTGTCCTGTATGTCAAGTTTAGGAAGACAGAGATAGGGTTTTTGTCATAGGCATAAAAAGTTACACATTAAAAAAAAAGGCGGGGGGGGGGGGGGGGGACCCAGAATCCAATCAACAATTCTGTCTGGTTGGGTAGTTGCTGGGTTTCAGAGGAAACCTCTAAAATGATTCAGTTTGAGATTAGAATGATGGTCGGCTTTTCCTCACTGTTTTTTTGTCATTGTTATTGTTGGTTTGTTTGTTTTCTGTTTGGGGTGGGGCTCCCTTTCTCTGAGCTGGGGCTTGAGTGGCTGTCAGGCAGCACCCAGAGCTCCCCTCAGGCTAAGCTGCATCAGGCTGCTTAAAGGCATTGCTTTGGGGTTTTGTTTTGTTTTGTTTTTCAGAATTTAATCTGTAATATCCAGGGTAGACTCTGCATTCATGCATTGAAGGAAACATTTTATAAATTGACCTCACACTGTATAATGTGTAATCTTTATTGACCTCTTGTGGTATGTGAGCAGCTGGCATAATTATACCAAGTGCTGTAATTGTGCACACAGAGTGGGAGGAAGGGCTGCCTTTGTTTTCCTCAGTGTGAAAACTGCAGGTATGAAGTGTGAGCTATGGACTGCCTGGAGAGGAAAACCTGCATCCACAGTGTGGGGGAGCTCCATGAACCATTCATTAACCCCTTCCACACTTAAGTGAAGATTTCACTCAAACTTTTCATCTTAAAGTTTGGAGAAATTACTTGAAATAAAAATAAAGATTTTTATACAGATAAATGCTCTGTATGGGGGAAAAAAACCTGGTTGTTTAGGAAACACAAATTCACATTGCCCAATATAATCTGCTGGTCCTACTAAAGTCTCAGGCTTCATGCAGACCCACATTGAGCCAAGGTGTCTTCTGTGGAAAGAGGGAGAATGTTCTTCCTTGTTTGCTCATCAGGCGCCAGGACTGCCTAACTTTACCTTTTCACACTCTGAATGCCAGAGACACTAGGGGACCCACAGTGTGTACATCCCTGGCCCTATGGGGTTACTGGTATTCTTTCTCAGTGAAAAAGTGGGAGCTGTTTGGCATGGGTACAGCTGGCCCCAGTTTAGACCACAGGTTGCCAGAATCCCAGACCTGTACCCCCAACCCCCACCTCTTGGCCTCCCACACTGCCCAAACCCCCTTCTAAGATGAGTTAATACCAGATCTCTGGGAGGGAGGACAAAGAAGATTTGGCCAAACAAACAGGTAGACTGGGCACTTGCTTCTTAGTGCCAGCAGAGATAGACATGCTAAGATCAGGGCTCCTCTCACATCTCCTCCCTGCTGTCAATCAAGGTGGCTTAGGAGGATCATAATGGGTGTCCATGTGAAATATTTAGACCTTGTGATTGGATTTCTCCAAATCCAGCCAAAGAAAAATTAAGAAGTGTTGGGAGGAATATTTATTCTTTGGCATCCCATCACAAGGATTGATTGAAACAGGAAATACTCCAAAATCCAAAAGTTGGCAATCTATACAGTGGCATCTGTTCAGGTATAATGGTGCACAGTTGTAATCCTGGCTACCCAAGAGGCTGAGGCAGGAAGATTGGAAGTTCCAGACCAGCCTGAGTAACATCCCAAAATCCTCTCTCAAAATGAAAAATAAAGGGACTGGGGATGTGGCCCAAGCGGTAGCGCGCTCGCCTGGCATGCGTGAAGCCCAGGTTCGATCCTCAGCACCACATACAAACTAAGATGTTGTGTCTGCCGAGAACTAAAAAACATAATTTCTCACACTCTCTCTCACTCTCTCTTTAAAAAAAAAATGAAAAATAAAATGGACTGGGGTGTGGCTCACTGGTAGAGCCCTTGCCTAGCATGCTGGAGGTCCTGGGTTCAATCCCCAGTATTGGGGGGAAATTTTTGTCTAATACAAGAGGAGGTTTCCAAAAGGCTTTTTGTTTTAATGACATGGCACAAACCTTATGAAAAAATCATAGTGTGTCAACTACTTTTTTAAAAACTATAGAAAAGACCAGTGAACAGCACACTAAAATACTGAAAGTGTATTCCCCATGTGGGGATTGGAGTGATTTGGTTTTTTTGTTTTTTGTTTTTTTTTTCTGTTGTTCTGTATTTTCTTTTCTTTTACTTTCCCTGCCCCAAATAAATGAGCATGTACTACCTTGGAAATCAGTAAACAACTTTTTTAAATGTATGTATGTGTGTGTGTGATGCTGGGGACCAAACCTAGGGCCTTATGCTTGTTAGGCAAACATTCTACTATAACTGAACTAAATCCCCAGCCCAGGAAATAATGTTTATTTTATTTTAGAGATGGGGTCCCACTATGTTTCCCAGGCTGGCCTCAAACTCCTGGGGTTTGTCCTCCCCAGGAAACTGTTAAAGGTGGAGTGGGATGGGGAATACTCTGTTAAGCAAACAGCTATGAGACTTGAACTTCACAAGGGGGAGTGTCCCCTGTGTGTCTTGTTTATTGCCGACACAAAGCCTACAACATGGCCAAGTGCCTAGCAGGTATCGGCGCTCATTTGACCACCAGCCATCAGCAGCAAGTGAGAAGACAAAACCCACCTTTTCAAAAAAGTCGAACTAACCACAGAAAACGATACCAAGCTCAACACAGTCATGGTTTTATAAAATAGGAATGGGACTTTTGACCTTCATCAAACTGGAAGCCGAACAGACTCAATCTGAGTTCCAGGCCGGAAGGCAAACACAAGGCTCACGTGGCTTTATCACTTGGCCTCAGTTGCCTCCTCCAGAAACTGAATTCTGTTGTTCATTAATGAAAGGGAGCTTTATTTCCTTTTGCAAAAGAACACTGAGTCAGTCACACTTGGGTGAGTCCTTCTCACATAAAGACTGGGGGTAGAAGAGGTACTTAAAGTTGTACTTGGTACCGGCTAGGCAGTAAGCAATCTCCTTGTCACACTTACACAGGAGCTTCTGGCATTCATCATCCGCGGATCCTGGAAGGAGTGGAGAGACTGGGGTTAGACCCTGCAGAAACTCCAGGGTCAATGCCAGGGAAACCAGCACAGCTGGGCAGAACAGGTCAGGTGTGGCATGTGTGTGTGTGTGGAACGGGACATCTCACCAGGTGCTCTCCATCAGCTTGTCCCCTCCAGGAAGGAGGGCATGTCAGCCCCTGTGAAAAGGAACTTAAAATTTCAGATAGACAGTCTGATGTCCACACAATTCTGGCTTCTCTTCTGTGTCAACATTATTACTGTTTCACTTGGGGATCTGCTTAGATAAGACAGTAGGGGCCTGGCAGCCATCCAGGCCTGGTTTGACCCTCCTTCAGGCCATGTGACTTACCTAAACTTTCATTTAAAACAGGAGCAGTGCTGGAGAGGCAGCCCAGGGGTAGAAAGCACTGGCCTACCATACACAAGGTCCATCCCCAGCCCTCAAGAAAAGAAACGCCCTGACTGTAGGTAGCAATCACATGATCCCTATCACCCCTCCCTCCAGGGCTTACCTTTTGAGGACATGCAAAGATAAATCACTCTAGCTGGGGAATTCCACTTAACTCATTAATTGGCTTGGGAAGACTTTGTAGTCTAAAAGTCATATGTTATTAATCTAGATGATGTCACTCTTTTGACAGCCATGGATACACCCACTGTCTTTTAGTGTGCACTTTTAATTTTTGACATAATGAACAACATTCACTATCAAATTCTTCTAATCTCCTTCAAAAGGCGTGGTGAAGAAGTGGGAGCTTGGAAAATGGCTAGCTCAGCCATGGTTTTAGAAGCTCTGTGCCTTTAAACACATGCATGAGAAACTAGAAAAATCAAACCTGGGCCAGGAGCGGTGGTACTTGCCTGTAATCCCAGCAACTCCAGAGGCTAAGGCAAGAGAATCTCAAATTCAAGGCCAATTTAAGCAACTAAGTGAGGCCCTGTCTCAAAAAGGGCTGGAGATGTGGCTCAGTTGGTTAAGCGCCCCTGGGTTCAATTTCTAGTACCCTCCCCCCACTCAAAAAAAAAAAAAAAACACCTATGGAGATAAAGTTCTAGAATTAGTCTAGTTAGATGATGATGCCTGCCTGCCTGCAGGCTGTGAGGCTTCAACTGGGTGTGCGGGTTTTATAAAAAAGAAATTAGCAAGATTTGGTAGTCAAACTATCACTTAACACAGAGACACTTCCTCTTGTCTACTTGGAAAATAGAAGATTGGAAGGGAAAAATCTCACTCTAATTCATTTGTTAAGCTTCTGTGTAGAGCAAGGCACCCAGAAGAACAAGTCTCTGGTCCCCGACCTGAACAGTCTCCAAAGGCAGAGTCATCAGCACTCCACTTTGCAGAGAAGAAACCCAGGAAGGCATGGGGAGACCAGTACCCCCACCCAGCTCTGCCCAACTCAAGCCTCCGGCATCCAACTCCAGAGACGGGATGGGGTATTGACTCGGACCTTTAAAGTCCAAGTTATAACAGGATTATTTAAGAGTTTTACTGGCATAAGAAACAGCTTATAGGTAAGAGAAAAATAAAGGGTGCAAAACATACTATATATTTTTTTAAATAAATAATTTTTTAATATTTACTTTTCAGTGGACACAACATTTTTATTTTATTTTTATGTGGTGCTGAGGATTGGACGCAGCGCCCCGCACATGCCTGGCGAGCGCGTTACCGCTTGAGCCACATCCCCAGCCCCACCATTATATTTTTTAATTACATCTTCATAAAGGAAAACAGGAAAAACACCAGAATGGGGAGTTGTCTGGGGTAACATCATTGGGAGTTTAATTTCCTCCACTTTTATACCTTGTCATTTCAAACATTTCTACTTTGGGCCATATGATGCTTTCATCATGGAAAAAGGATTTGAAGAGTAGCTATTTCATGGATTAATGTACAAAGTGGGGGATGCAGTTCAGTGGTAGAGTGTTTGCCTAGCATGTTCAAGGCCCTGTTTCCATCCCCAGCATCGCACACACAAACACAAATGTACAGTATCTGTTAGATCAGAATGTCTACCTGTCATTCAGCAGCTGCACCCAAAGAAAGTGGTTGCTAGGAGCCAGGTGCAGCGGCTCATGCCTATAATCCTAGCAACTCAGGAGGCTAAGGCAGGAAGATCTCAGCAACTTAGTGAGACCCTGAGCAACTTAGCAAGACCCTGTCTCAAAATGAAAAGGGCTGCGGATGGGGCTCAGTGGTTAAGCACCCCTGGTTCAATCCCCAGTACCAAAAAAAAAAAAGAAAGAAAAAGAAAAAGGAAGAAAGGAAGAGGCTTCTGGGAGCTTTGGTGACCCTCCTCTTCCCCAACTTTTATATGTTTTTTACTATAATTGATATATAATAGCTGCACATATTTATGAGGCACAGTGTGATATTTTGATACTCTCCCCCTTAGCCTATATAAATAAACACAATTTAAATCTTCTTTAAATGTCCTTACTATGTAAATGTACCTCGTGACAAGCTCTCTGCCTGTCTCTTTAGATTGCCCCCCAGCCCTTTCTACGCTGTAGAGGAGTCCCCAATACAATATTGGACCCAGCAATTCTAGACTTGATGCTGCCCACAAAAATCCTCAAATAAAGGCACAAATATTTACAAACACCCCTGGTCTCTGCAACCTTGTGGAGCAGTTGATGGGGACATGGTCAAAATAAAGTACATTGATGACATGGACCAGCCATTCTCAACCATGGGCAGCTGAGCCTCCAGGGGGGCATCTGGCAACATCTACAGACATTTTAGTTTGTTACAGTGGGGGAGGGGGGGGTGCTACCATCTAGTGGGTAGAACTAAAGATGCTGCTAAACATCTCACAGTGCACAGGACAGCCCCTGGCAACAGAGAATTATGTGGCCCAATATGTCAATAGTGTCAAGGGTGAAAAGCCCTGCCACAAGTTATATCTAGCTTTAGAGAAGTAACATCAGCCAGGTATGGTGGAGCACACCTATAATCCCAGCTACTCTGGAGGCTGAGGCTGGGGGATTGTAAATTCATAGCCAAAGAGATCCTGTCTCAAAATTTTTTAAAGGGCCAGGGATGTAGTTCTGGGGTACAGCAACCTTGGGTTCAATAATCAGCCCAGCAAAATACAAACATAAAAAACCCTCCCTGGGAGCTGAGGTTGTGGCTCAGTGGAAGAGCACTTGCCTAGCAGGTGTGAGGCACTGGGTTCGATTCTCAGCACCGCATATAAACAAATAAGTAAATAAAGGTCCATCAATAACTAATAAAAATATTTTTAAAAAACCCTCTCTGGTTCTTCCCCCAGAAAGAAAGCATTCAATGTCCCCCCTCATTTTCCAATACCATCACTACCACTCTTACCCTGGGCACTATACTCCAGCCTACACCATCCTCAAGCTCCGATGGACCACCCAGGCATCCTCCTGCTTCAGCCTTCCAAGCTGCTAGGATTACAGGCATGCACCACCACGACAGGATAACGACTATGTTTTATTATTCCCATTTTACAGAGGAGTAAAGTGAGACTCAGAAGGAGTCGGAAACTCAACCAGGGTCACAGAGCTGGGAAGGGGTGGACCAGGAGGGTGTACCTCCCACCTTCTCCCTGAACAAAAAAAAAGTTTCTTTTAAAAACAAGATGTAAGCCTGGAGCACTGTGGGGCATGTGGTGTGTGCCTGTAATCCTAGTGACTGGAAAGCCTGAGGCAGAAGGATTGCAAGTTCCAGGCCAGCCTCAACAATTCAGTGAAGCCCTGAGCAACTAGGGAGACCCTATCTCACAAACAGAAACAGAAAAAACAGGCTGGGGATATGGCTCTATGGCTAAGCACTCCTGGATTCAATCTCTGGTACAAAAAAAAAAAAAAAAAAGTCTCATGGCTTCAGGAATCCAAAGGAACCATGCTGTTCAAGAAAAATAAAACTATAAGAGAAAAATAGCTACCACTGGTTAAGCTTAAAATTAAAACCTTAAAATAATTAAAACCTGCTAGTAAATATTATTGCAGGCTTAAATTTTTTAATATATTTGTCAAGCCCATAAATGGAAAATGAGCCAAACCTATAATTAAATAAACAACTATGTTCAGAATATCTCCAAACAGAATAAGAGAATATTTTTATCCAAAAAAATGCATAATAGATACTTTGGTTCTTTTCATTGGGTTTAGGGAGGACAGTTCTGTAAACGGGTACAGAATTCCACCGGCGAACACACCAATAAATATTTCATAAACATCCTTTTCGCATGGGTAGGAGCAAGCAGAACATGCAAACTGAAGAGAAAAGGAAAAGATCTTCAGCAGATCTCACCATTGAGCCATGTTTCAGCTCCCTGCTTGTGCTGCAAAAGGGCTGTTTAGGGCCATGTCGCCTCCCCCGGCCCCCGGCCTCAGTTTTCCTAACTTTAAATGACAGATTGCATAAGATGGTGCTGGGTCATACTCAAGTCCTACTGTGTGTTTTGTACTGGGGATTGAACCCAGGAATGCTCTACCACTGAGCCATATCCCAAGCCCGTTTTATGTTTTATTTTGAGACAGGGTCTTACTATGTTGCTGAGGCTGGCCTCAAATTTGTGATCCTGCCTGAATTTCTAGGATTACTGTGTCTCCATATGAATTCAGCTTTGTTCTTATGCCAGTTCTTCAACTCATACTATGGAGATATGGCTGAGAGTCCCCGCATATCTAAAATCACCTTCCAGTAACCATCATGATCACCTTCTGGCCTGCAGAGCAGACTTGTCACCAGAAGCTGGGGTTTTAGTGGACAGTCACACAGAGAGAAGACAGGGGGAGGAGAAGGGGAGGGAGAAAAGAAGAACTCCCATTCAATCTGCTTATCGTGTTACAAACCCTGCAACACGTAACTCGCAGGTAGGCGAACTGAGGCTTGAGCAAAGTGATGGAACCGTCATCCCTCTAGGGACAAGCCATTTTCAACACAGAAATGCCAAGAATATTCAAAAGAGAAAGAAAAGTCCCTTCAATAAAGGATGCAGGATAACATCATGCCAAAAACT